GATGTGCTTGGATGTCTGCTTGCGGGCTTCTAAGACCTTGGGCACTACACAGCGAACTAGGAGGTAGAACAGAAGCACCAAACATGTTATTAGGCCAGTTAACTGAGATGTCCCATGAAACCATCACCCTAAACCTCCAAACCAAGAAACTAAATCCTGTGAGGTGTTTGGTTGTATTTAAGCAGCCTCAGCAGCTATTCTCTTATTGTCGTTGTAGATATATCTACCACTCAGCTTTTGCCGGTTCAACTTTTTACAGACGTACAACTTATCGACAGCAATTATAATAATGGTCTGTACAGCCCTACCATTAATCAATGCAATTTTCCATTACCATTAACAACCCCCATGGCCCTTTTCCCTTCCCTTCCACTGCTGGTAACCACTAATGAACTTGGGTCTCTATATATTTGCTTTTTCTTGTCTTTTTATATAAGTGAGGTCATACAATATTTGTCCATTTGTTATCGACTTATTTCACTCAGCATAATGTCTTCTAGCTCCATCCATATTCTAACATGTATCAAGACTTCATTTCTTCTGGCGGAGTAGTAGTCCATTGTACAAATCACCACATTTTGTTTAAGCATTCGTCTGTTGATGGGCGTTTAGATTGTTTCCACCTTTTGGCTATTGTGAGTAGCACTAAATGAACATTGGTGTAAAAGTCTCAGTTTGAGTCTCTGCTTTCAGGTCTTTTAGGTGTATCCCCAGGATGGAATTGCTGGATCATATGGTGGTTTTATTTTTAGTTTTTTGAGGAACCGCTACACTGTTTTTCACAACAGCTGTACCATTTTGCATTCCTATCAGCAGTAAGGGTTCCAGTTTCCTCACATCCTCGCCAACATTTGTTATTTTTAGGGTTTTTTTTTTTTTTAATCTTAGCCATTGTCTTAGTTATCTAGTGCTGCTGTAACAAATACCACAAGTGGATGACTTTAACAAACAGAAATTTATTATTTTCTCACAGTGAAGGAGGCTAGAAGTCTGAATTCAGAGCGCCGGCTCTAGGGGAAGGCGTTCTCTCTTGTTGGGTTCTGGAGGAAGGTCCTTGTCTCTTCTGAGCTTCTGCTCCAGGGCAGCCTTCATGTGGCTTGGCATCCCTATTTCCTCATCTCTGCTCACACAATTGCTTGTTTAATCTCTTTTATATCTCAAAAGAGATTGACTCAACACACACCCTACACTAATCCTGTCTCATTAACAAAGACAACCCATTCTCAAATGGGATTGTAACCACAGACATAGATGTTAAGATTTACAACACATGTATTTGGGGGACACAATTCAGTCCATAACCAGCCATCCTAGTGGTAGTGAAGTGGTATCTGCTTGTGGTTTTGATTTACATCTCTCTGATGGCTAATGACGTGGAGCTTCTTTTCATGTGTTTGGTGACCATTTGAATGTCCTCTTTGGTCAGATGTCTGTTCAGGTCCTTTGCCTGTTTTATGATTGGGTTATTTGTCTTTTTGTTGTTAAGTTGTCTAACTTTTATGTATATGTTGGTTTTTAGGTTCTTGTCGGATATATGGTTTCTGAAGATATTCTCCCAGTTGGTAGCTTTTCCCTTTTTGGTGAAGTCTTTTGATGAATAAAAGTATTTAATTTTTATGAGATCTCATTTATTTATTTATCTTTTACTGTTTGTGCTTTTGTTATTAAAGGCCTCACTGCATTGCCCTTGCTTTTTCTTCTAAGTATTTTATGGTTTTAGTTTGCACTTTTAGGTCCTTAATCCATTTTTAATTTGTTTTTGTGTACGGGTGAAGTGTGGATCCTGTTTCATTTTTCTGCGTGTGGAGGTTCAGTTTTACCAGCACCTTTATTGAAGAGACTCTTCTTTCACCATTGAATGGACTTGGCACCCTTGTCAAAAATCAGTTGACCATAGTTGTGTGGATTTATTTCTGAACTCTCAATTCTATTCAGTTGGTCTGTGTGTCTATTATTATACAATAGCAGGCTGTTTTGATTACTGTAACTGTATAATGTGTTTTAAAATGAGGAAGTGTGAGTCCCTCTACTTTGTTCTTCTCTTTAAACATTCCATATAAAGTTGAGAATTGGTTTTTCTGTTTCTGTAAATAAGGCTAATGGAATTTTGATCAGAATTGCATTGAATCCATAGGTTGCTTTGGATAGCATTGACATCTTAACACAATATTAAGTCTTCCAGCTGATGAACATGGAACATCTTTCCATTTATTTAAGTCTTCTTTAATCTCTTTCAGCAGTGTTTTATAGGTTTCATTGCATAAGTCCTACATGTCCCTGGTTAGATTTATTCCTAGGTATTTTATTCTTTTAGGTGCTATTTTAAATAGAATTTTTAATCTAATTTCCCTTTCAGATTTATCTGTAGTGTTTTTAAAGTAGCTCCGGTGCCGCAGTGGTTGATCACTCTGCTCCTGTAACTGAAAGATCAGCAGTATGAACCCATCAGTCACACTTGTAGGAGAAACATGGGGCAGTGTGCTTCTGGAAAGATTTACAGCCTTGGAAACCATAAAGGGCAGTTCTCCTCTGTCCTGTAGGGTCTCTATGAGTCGGAATTGACTTGACAGCATCGGGTTTGGGTTTTTTTAATAGTGTTTTTGAGTGTATCTCTTTGCATATCTTTTTTTGTGGCTTCTCTACATATTACATTACATATACATAACTTACCATAGTCTAGTGGTGTCATTTTATCAGTTCGAGTAGAATATAGAAATCTTACCTCACTTTATATCCATTTACCTTCCCATTCATAATATATTTGTCTTTAAAGATTTCCTCTACATAAATTTAGAATCCCATCAGTCAGTGTTAGAATTTTTGCTTCATCCATCGAACATAGTTTCAAAAATTTGAGAAAGAAAGCTTATTGTACGTACCCATGTTTTTGCTTACCCAGTTCTTTCTCCCTAATATTCCAAAATTGCTTCTTTTATTTCCTTTCTGTTTAGAGAATTTCCTTTATCTGTTCTTCAGTGTAGGTCTGCTGGTGACATATTCTCATAGTTTTTCTTCTTCTGGGGATGTCTTGGTTTCTTCTTCGTTCCTGAAGCATTTTTTTCCTGGACATATGATTCTAAGTTGATGGCCCTTTAATAGTTGAAAAATGTAGTGCCACTTATGGTTTCTGTGGGTTCTGATGAGAAATATGCTGTCATCTGAATTGTTTTTCCAATATAGGTAAGGTGTTACTTTTCTCTGGTTATTTAAAAAAAATTTTTTCTTTGTATCAAGTTTTCAGAAGTTTAATTATAATGTTGCTTGGTATAGAGTTCTTTATTCTGTTTGGGTTTCACTACACTTTTTGAGTCTGTAGGTTTATGTTTTTATCATATTTGGCAAGTTTTCAGCCATTATTTCTTGGAGTACTTTTTCAGCCCCACTTTCTTTCTCCTCTCCTTCTAGGACTTAGGTGACACAAATGTTAGACCTTGTTTTATAATTCCACAGATACCTGGTGTGTTATTCTTTTTTTTTTTCTTTTTTCTTTTTCAGTCTGTCTTTGCTATGTTGTTCAGATTAGGTAATTTCTGTTGTTCGATCATCTGATTCACTAATCTTTCCTCTGTCCCCTTCTTTCTGATGTTGAGCTCATCCACTTTATATGGCAGTTACTGAATTTTTCAGTTCTAAAATTTCCATTTGGTTCTTTATGTCTTCTGTTTCTTTTCTGTGACTTTGTTTTGATGCTTTCTGTTTTTTCATTAGGTCCAAGTGTTTTCCTAATTGTTAAAGTATTTTTATGATGGCTCCTTTAAAATACTTGTTAGACAGTCTTAACGTTCCTGTCATCGGTGTTGTTATCTATTGTCTTTTTCATTCAGTTTGAAATCTTCCTTGTTTTTGGTATGATGAGTGATTTTCTATTGAAAACTGGACACATTCACATTATAAAATTTGGATCTGAATTAAACCTTCTCTTTCAGCTGGTATTCTTGACATGCTCCATCAGGGGAAGGAGAGGGGTTTCGTCTCATTACTTCCAGGTGGAGGTAGAAGTCCAGGTTGTCTTCTACAGCCACCATTGTCCTCTGAGGAGGGGAGGCCCTCATTATTACTGGGCAGGGGTGGACATTCCAGCTCCCCACCTTGTCTCCACCAACACCATGATGGAGTTGTCCTCATCACTAGGCAGTTGTGACAGTGACCTACTTCTGACACCACCCCAGCTGGGAGGTGGAGGGTGAATCCAGGTGCCTGTGTAGTCTCCATTGGTTCACGGGGTGGGGGGCAGGGCTTATTATTAATTGGCAGGGATGGGAGTCTTGGCTTCTGATTTTATAGGGCCGTCTCTGACATCACCCTGGCAAGGTTATTGGGCTCCTTCCAGCCTCGGAAGGGTTGCTACCTAGGCTCCCTCTTCAGCCTATGCTGATGGAGGTAGTAGTGGGCCACCGTTCTCCTGTGGTGTTTGGCTGGAGTAGAACAGTTATTGTCAAAGTTTTTTGTCTTGCTAGACTGCCTCTTTCTTGGTCCTTCGGCTAGAGATGGCAAGCTTTTGTCTGCTTTCTTTTTTTTATGTGTGCCCACTGGCATTTCTGGGTTGCTAGCTTCTTCATTTCCAAGTCTAGGATACTTGAGGCAAAAAGAAAACCCAGGGAACTCGCCACTGTGTTATCCCTCAGGTCACAGGCCCCTGCTGGTCTACCTTATTTTCTCCACCTTGCCGAGTCTTCTAATGTTTGTTTTTTATAAACTTACCATGGCTTTTAGTTGTACTTAGCAGGAGGAATAGAGAAAAGTGTATCTATTCCATCTTCCTGAAAGCAGGAGTTCTCTGAGTCATTTTTAACACATCAGCACTTGGTGGAAATGTATGTAATAATGTTTCTAATCTAGTAAAATTTTCTAGTACATGCTACTGTGTTAAAAGAATATATTTGGTAGCTAAACTAATATAAAATACATAAGTGTTTCCTAAATGGCAAAAGAGGAAAATAAATTTGCTAAAGGTAAGAAAGCAAACCCTGTTTTAATTGAACTCTGCTTTCCGTACCTAGGTTGGGGCGAACACTATGGACAATCCTTTGTTGAAGTACAGTGCAAAGGATTACTTCTTTAAAGCAGCCCTCTGCCACTTCATAGTAGATGAGTTAAATGCAAAGGTAAGGAGTCCTTTGGGGCTAGTTTTCGGATGTAGCAAGACTAAACTAGGTACGTTAAAAATAGTAATTCTGTGATGTGTTTCCCAGCTGTAATCTTGTAATGGTTGCTGAAATTGTGCACGTGAAGTTCCCTGGTCACCAAGTTTCCTTTGGCAAATTTACTTTAAAGAAATTTAGGGGCTAAGGAAGAAATAATAAGAGTAGACTAACATCTTTGGGGTTTTTTTTTTTTTTTTAAATCAAATCAGAAAACAAATTATTTATTTCCTACCAAAATAAACCACATTCATTGGAAGAAATTGCTCACTTGAGTTTATAGCTTTGCTCCAAAATCCCCTTCAGGTGTTTAATATAAAAGAAGTGGCTGTGGTGTCCTTACTGGATTGTAAATATTCTCCCACATGGGGGCCACCGTGAGTTGAAATTGACTCGACAGCAACTTGTAGTTACAAGTTATGCAGACTATGCCTCTATTTTAAAAATTTGCACCAGCCCTGACTGGCTTAAAGGTCCTGGTAGCACACTTAAGTAGGCACTGGCTTTGGACTGGGTGCCTTTCTTCCATTCTTGCCTCACCCTAATACTGGTTCTCCACTCAGCAGCCAGAGTGGTGCTTTTAAATCGTATCACGCCCTTTCCCTTCTCCTCGCCCATTGCACTTGGAATAAAGTCATAATTCCTTGACCTGACTTCCTGGCCCACAACTTTCTCTTGCTCACTGTGCTCTAGTCACCTGAGCCTGCTTTCTGTTTCTCAGGCCAAGTCCGTTTCCAACTCAGTCTTTGCACCTGTTGCCTTCTAGTCTTACCTGGAAGGTTCTCCTCACATCTTCCTGTGGCCTGTTCCCTCACTCTCGTTAGGTTTCTGCTCAGATACCATCTTCTCCTGAGGCTTTCCCTTCCCTGCCTTGCCCCTGCACCCACACTTGTTCTTGGGAAAAGTGTCCCACTTCATTAGCTGTCACTCTCTCACACACTCTCCCATGTAGGGTCCTACATGTTTTCTCACAGCCCATGTCAGCCTGACATTGAGCCATGTGTCTGTGTGTCTGTTTGCCCCATCTCTACCTCATCATAGCATGGGGTCTGTGAGGCCAGAGCTTTTCTGGTGGTCACTGTGATATCTTCCACAGCTAGAAAGTGCCTGGCATGTGGTAGGTCCCAGAACATACGTATTTCCTTAATGAATGTTGTATAAGCCCCCTGACCTTAAAAAAAAAAAAATCATCACAGTGCTTAAGGGCATGTTTTTCTGGACCTGCTCTCGTATGTATGTGTCAGGAGTGTAGAGTCTAATTAGATCATTTTTAGACCTTTTCCTGCTTAGACCTACCCGTGTGCTCTCCTGGAGCTGGGGAGCGGTTTCTTTGCTTCTTGTTGTGGTTTTGGTTTGTTTTAATTGCTCAAGAAGACCAGACTGTATTTAGTGTACAGACCTTGGATTTGAATGTTTTCATGACCAGATATAGACCATTTCAGAACCATACTTGGCAAGAGAATGAGTGTCTTTTGACAGACTTTAAACATGTGACCAAGGTATTGCAGATTGTGTATAATCTTGACTTAAAAGTGAAGGACTTAATAAAATTTTAAATCACAGCAGAAAACTGAAAGAACAGAGATGTTTCCCACTTCATTGTGTTCACTCTGACTAGTGAGTCAGGTTATTTCCTCAGCTGCTCTCGTTTTTGGGGATTTGGGATTGAAATGAGGATGTGGGGAGAAGTTGAAGAGCAAAGTGAAAGCTGGAAGACAAGAGACAAGACTTTGACAGCGTTGGTGTTGTCAGTATCTGTTTGGAGTTAGAAGAGCAGAATTAAAGTCACCGAGGGAAGCAGCGTTCTTCCCTCTAACCTCTAGCAATGGTCTCAATTTTATTTATTTGTGATTTCGCAATTTAGACAGCTGTTAAGGAAGAGCATCCCCATTTAATGGATGAAAACAGAGACACCTGGTCTGTGAGTTTCTAAGAACTAGATTAGGTTCACATTGACTTCTCTACAGCAACATAGAAAAATTGATTTAGAAATTTGCTCGTAGTTGAACTTTAAAATTCAAAATAAATAGGTTTCATGTGTTAATGTTAAGTTTAGCAGCATACTTCTTAAACATTTAAATATAGATAAATCTAATTGAAGTTAATATTAAAGGCTTTATTTCCTGCTTTTGTAAGTCTGATGTTAATGAGCTGCTTTTTTCTCCTAGCTTGCTCTTGAGAAATATGAGGAAATGTTTCCAGCATTTACTGATTCAAGAGAATGTAAATTATTAAAAGTAAGTAAGTTTGGGACTTTGGAAAAAAAGCCTTTACTGTCAGGTAATAATACCTAGGCAGGTTGGGAATTAAGTGAAATTTTAGTTGTATGAAGTCTGCTAGTTGACGGGACCTGGTAGTTTTTGCTTTTGCTTTATGAGTCTTCGCATGCCACTAGAGTCAGGGAGTGTGTTCTGAAACAGGCAATTTGGAAATGTTACTACAAAAGCTGCTGACTTGGGTAATTCTTGACTTGTATTTGAGTATTTCCCCAATTTTGTGAGGTATTTGGCAACATCAGTTAATGTGATACGAAAGCTGTTTCTGTGTTCACAGATGGGACTTTTCAGCCTACCAAACTGATTTTTCCCCTATTTTTATTCTACAGAAGCTTCTAGAAGCTCATGAAGAACAGAACAGTGAAGCTTACACGGAAGCAGTAAGTTATGCGTTGGGGCTGTAGTACATTCTTTGAAAGTTTAAATTACAAAAGCTTCTTTTCCTTTTCATTTTTTAAATTCTGAATATTTAGCTGAACATTATTCTAGCACACCTGAGTTGTATTTTCCAAATGTCATTTTTTATAGATCCTATAAATCTTTAAAATTGGACAGTTCTATTAGCTGTTAGACTGCTGGAACCCCAGTTGTATTGAGCATTGTTTCTTGACTTAAGTTCCAAACTGTATTTTGGCTGTGAGGCTAGCTCAAGAGCAAACACCTTATATTGTTGTAATGGACTATTTTAATGTTTTCTTTTGAAAATAATCTGATCCATAAATAAGTGTAAAGTAAATGTCGTTAAAATACTATTTAAAATACAAAAATTCAGAAGTGAGAGTTTGCTGTTTTCTTGGCATAAAATAAATGGAAGGTTTTTTCTTTACACTCATCATTTTTCTGTTTTCCCATTTTTTGCCATCTTATATTTAGAACTAAGCACATTTTCATGGTTTCTTCCATTAATATGGTAATCATGGCTTTGAAGTGATGTATAAACAAAGGAATGTTTTCCTGTTTAACTTTGGCCACCAGACCATTTTCATCCTACTGAAATTTTATTCCTTGGTAATGCATTGAAATGTGTTAGAAGAATTTTGTTTCCACAAATCCTGATTTAGCAAGTTTTTTCATGTTAGATGAATATTAGAGCAATCTTAATTTTCCATGTTCCCTTCTAATTCTTATTACAGAGTCTAATTTTATTTGTCACATTAAATGCACTCTTCTTCTAGTAATAAAGGCTGTTCGGAATTTTCTCCTTGCACAAAGCACTGGAGCTTGTCGTTGGCACCATCAAAATAATCACAGAATAATGAAAAACAGTTTTTAACGAAGAAGGTATAAACTAGAATGAACAATTTCTAAAGAAAATTGGTGAATTATCGTTGTAAATGTTAGAAGAACTTGGGGGTATTGTTGTTTTGTGTTAGGATTGTATTTCCATGGAATAATTCCTATTCATCTCCCCTTTAAACTAGGTAAAGGAATTTGACTCAATATCTCGCTTGGATCAGTGGCTTACTACTATGTTGCTTCGTATCAAAAAATCCATCCAGGGGGATGGAGAAGGAGACGGAGACCTCAAATGAAATGTTTGTGTCTTTGTGGCATGCAGCTAACTCCTCTTCATTTTTGTCTTAGGGCAAAGTGTTCTTTATGGGATGCCCACTTAATGACTTAATTTTGTTGCATATGAGCCAAACGATCTGTGTATGATTTAAACTCACCGTGTCTGTATGATGGTGATTGTGAGTGTGACGCGTGATTCATGCTTGTCAGAGCCCCAGTTTTCTGAGAAGTACTTCATGACTTATTCCTGTTATTTGGTTATTTGCAGAGCCTGTCTTTAGTTTTGCCATGTTTTTAGGTTCTTTTTCTTGGACTTGAGTACCCAATCTAGTTGGTTTAATATGTGCTTTGCATATTCTCTATACATTTGCATCTGGGTGTATTCTCTAAATGTCTGTGTTTAGTTAGGACAGTTGTTAGAAATGAGTTTATAACTTTCTTTATTAGAAATTGTTCCTATTTTTCGTATCCTGTGACTATTTTGATGGTGCTAGTGAAAAGTTCCAATGCTTTTTGTATTGTTTTGTATGCTAACATATGTATGGCAAGAATGAAGAACAGCCTGGGTCTGTTGGCATCACCCACACTGTGAGGACCGGGGCTTCCTGGCAGTGTTTGCTTGTGTGTGTGGATGAGGTGGATCTGACTGACTCTATGAGAGACTAATTTTCCTTGTTCCTTTATATACTTTCTTCCTTTTAGTTGGGTTGAAATCCCTTCTTTATATGCACATAAAGATGTTTGAATTGACACCTACTTTTTCCTGGTTTTCATTTTCACACACTTTCCCACATTGACATACAGTATTTTCTGTACCATGGTCATTTACACTTGGTCAGGGCTGGGTAGATTATCTGTGCTGAAGTTTGAGAATGTATGTAAAGAATTGTATCCGTTCATTTAACCTGATGGTTAGGTGGGGGTGAATCTGGTACTGAGTTTACTATATGCCCAGTTGGGCAAGAACCCCAACTTCCTTCTAAGAGACATGATTTTTCTCTTAGCTGATTGAATTATTTTATCTTGTGTGTTTTGACTCTGTCCTGTTTATTTTGATTTAAATAATATATGCTCTCTTGATTCATGAATTTGATCCTACCCATTCATGCTATGCGCTGGCAGATACTATAGAGGTGGTCTTGTTACCAGACATAACCCATGGTTCTTTCTAAATTGTGGTGCTGTCATTCATGACAGGTAATGAAATTGCCCATGTTATGTCAGATAATAACCAGTATTTGAATGGTGTTTTCGTTTTGGGATGCACCTTGACTGGGTAGGATTGTGTTGTACAGAGGTAGAGCAAGTGTGCCCAGACCAGGGGGCAGAGCCAGGAAAGGTTTGGGGTGGGAGGTGTGACTTGGTCAGTCTAGGGCAAAGGAGAAAGGGGCAGGAAATGCAGTTGAAAAGAGTGAGCTGAGGCCAGATTGTGGGGGTTCTGCATCACGTGATGCCTTGTGAGACTCTGGCGTTCCTATGGTGGTGCCTAGCCCAGGGTGGTCTGGTGGAGCAGAGAGCTCCGTGATGTCATAGTGTTGGGTTGGGTGGAGCATGTAGACCAGAAGGCATGGATACTGGTCTGGACCCTGAGGTGATCGCTGGAGTTCCTTCTTAACGAAAGTGGAAGAAAGTTGGTCATCGCTTAAGGTAGAATTTGGAACGGAGCCCAGTTGCTACTCCATTGCCTGTTGGACTCCCTTAAGAAAAACGTCAGAGAAAAAAGTGGCTTCTTGTTGCTATTCCTGATATATTCTACAACCAGCCAAATTTGCGAATTGGAAATTTGGGAGTGGTTTGTAGCTTCTTTCTTCTGTTTCAAGTCTGTTCCATTTGGAGAGCATTTAAACACTAGCCAGCCAGTGTGCTTGTTTCATTGAGGTTGCAAAGTTTCTTTCCGCTTGTTAAAAGAATCTTCTGGTCTGACAACTAAAGTAAAATTGCCTCTTTTAAGGCAATTCTGTTTACCTTTCATTGTGATCCCCTAGCAGACGCCTGTCTAAAGAAGAGGTATGGCTTTTAAAAATAGTATTTGTAAACTTTTGTTAGTCAGGCACTCTTTGTATTGACTGAAATAAACACTGGGATCAGAGCCTGGGTTAAGAATTTTTATTTTTAATGTTTTGCATGAAAATAATAAAAATAATTGCAACGGCTAGAACAGACCTTCTGGAAGATGAGAGAAAAAAAGCCAAGTAACAGTGTATACACTTACTGTTTCAACTGTTCGTTCCCCTGACATAAGATAGTACCATGTTTCTTTCAAAATGCCTACCAGTTAGGTTTTCAAGATATGTAGAATTGTTATTTATGAACAAAGCGATGGTTATGTTTGAGAGTTCTTGTATTTTAATAAATCTGGGGTTAGTCCGTAGTTAAAATTTATTACAGGAGAGGTTTGCTTTCTGTGGCAACATTTTTATAGCTCGTATTCTTTGTGTTCTTTCCTTATTTAATGATGTGAAAACAGTACTTTTGCACAGTTGTGACCGTGTGTGGTGTCACTATAACCAAAGCGTATGCACTGGCCCTGTGCAGTTACTGTTTCCTCCGTATTGTGCATTTAAACTGTCCAGATGCCGACTTTCTGACTTCTGTTGAGGGCTTGGCAGCATAGCATGTCACCTGTAACCTGCCCACCGGTGGTGTGAGCTGTGACTACTAGCAGGTTTCCTGCCTTGTGAAGTACTGACTCGGTCACTGCTGGTGTCCCCTCCCTCGTGCCCTCGGACAGAGGATTATATTATGAAAACTAACCATGTAACAGTAAATCTACCTTAGCAGAAAGAATATGTATGTTTTATGTGAACCTGTACAGTAAATAAAGTGGAAATTATGAGTAATATTTTGACTAGTCTTTCCTAGCTAAATTTATACAAACCAAGAATGCCTTTCTTTCCTTGAACTTGTTCCAAATAAGTGTAAGGCAACAGGCATTAATATTTTCTAAGCTCTGTGAGTATCCATTTGAATATTAGTTTGACTGTATTAAAACCTCAATTGCTTGATCGAAATGCAGAGTGCTGTAACTGTTTTGCAGGTACTGAGGGTTTATGAGAAAACCCTAGTTAGTCTGTTGATGTTTTCTACTAAATTTACATCATCACTGTGCAGACCTCACATTCTCATCCTGCCTGCTGCTCCCAGCAAGGAATCTTGCTTGAATCCTTTAGGCTCTAAAAATCACTTGGAAAGTTGAGGAAGGAGTGGATCCTGAAAGATTCTGTGACGTGGTGGTTAGGTGAAGAGCTCCCAAGCCTGACACCCTCCTTCCCGCACCAGCGTGCCACTTACCTGTTTTGGCAGTGTGTATTTTACAGCTGTGAGCACAGGATGGCAGAGGCCCTAGAGAAGGGCCAAGCCTCCTAGCCACTTGAGCCTGAAGTTCTATGGGAGGAGGAGGCTGCTGTGCAGGGATGGTGCAGGCTGGCTTGTCCTGTTACAGAGCAAGATTCAGGCCACTGGTTTAGGGTCGTGGAGTGGATCGATGACAACTTAAGGATAAGGAAAGCAAATTTTAAAAGATAAATGGTAGAAGAGGCCATTCTAACCGAGGAATTCTCTGAGATGTTACTGATCATTCAAAATTAGTTTATCATTTAATTTTCTCTTCTCGGAATCAGTGTTTCCTAACAGAGAGAAGAGCCACCACGGTGACTTAAGACATAGTTTTCTAGCCCTGGTAACACAGTCCCTGTATAGGCGGCAAGGATAAGCAGGTATATGGTTTTCCAGCCCTGGTAACACAGTCCCTGTATAGGCGGCAAGGATAAGCGGG